GGGCGAGGTGGGACTGTAGCTGGGAGAGGTCGGGCTGTAGCTGGGTGAAGTAGGGCTGTAACTTGGGCTGGTTGGGCTGTAACTGGGAGATGTCGGGCTGTAGCTGGGCGAGGTGGGACTGTAGCTGGGAGATGTCGGGCTGTAGCTAGGTGAAGTAGGGCTGTAGCTTGGGCTGGTCGGGCTGTAGCTGGGCGAAGTAGGGCTGTAGCTGGGGGAGGTGGGGCTGTAACTCGGAGACGTGGGGCTGTAGTTGGGCGAGGTGGGGCTGTAACTGGGAGACGTCGGGCTGTAGCTGGGCGAAGTAGGGCTGTAGCTCGGAGATGTTGGGCTGTAGCTGGGCGAAGTAGGGCTGTAGCTCGGAGATGTTGGGCTGTAGCTGGGCGAAGTAGGGCTGTAGCTCGGAGATGTTGGGCTGTAGCTGGGCGAAGTAGGGCTGTAGCTCGGAGATGTTGGGCTGTAGCTGGGCGAAGTAGGGCTGTAGCTCGGAGATGTTGGGCTGTAGCTGGGCGAAGTAGGGCTGTAGCTGGGGGAGGGGGGGCTGTAACTCGGAGACGTGGGGCTGTAGTTGGGCGAGGTGGGGCTGTAACTGGGAGACGTCGGGCTGTAGCTGGGCGAAGTAGGGCTGTAGCTGGGGGAGGTGGGGCTGTAACTCGGAGACGTGGGGCTGTAGTTGGGCGAGGTGGGGCTGTAACTGGGAGACGTCGGGCTGTAGCTGGGCGAAGTAGGGCTGTAGCTCGGAGATGTTGGGCTGTAGCTGGGCGAAGTAGGGCTGTAGCTCGGAGATGTTGGGCTGTAGCTGGGCGAAGTAGGGCTGTAGCTCGGAGATGTTGGGCTGTAGCTGGGCGAAGTAGGGCTGTAGCTCGGAGATGTTGGGCTGTAGCTGGGCGAAGTAGGGCTGTAGCTCGGAGATGTTGGGCTGTAGCTGGGCGAAGTAGGGCTGTAGCTGGGGGAGGGGGGGCTGTAACTCGGAGACGTGGGGCTGTAGTTGGGCGAGGTGGGGCTGTAACTGGGAGACGTCGGGCTGTAGCTGGGCGAAGTAGGGCTGTAGCTGGGGGAGGTGGGGCTGTAACTCGGAGACGTGGGGCTGTAGTTGGGCGAGGTGGGGCTGTAACTGGGAGACGTCGGGCTGTAGCTGGGCGAAGTAGGGCTGTAGCTCGGAGATGTTGGGCTGTAGCTGGGCGAAGTAGGGCTGTAGCTCGGAGATGTTGGGCTGTAGCTGGGCGAAGTAGGGCTGTAGCTCGGAGATGTTGGGCTGTAGCTGGGCGAAGTAGGGCTGTAGCTCGGAGATGTTGGGCTGTAGCTGGGCGAAGTAGGGCTGTAGCTCGGAGATGTTGGGCTGTAGCTGGGCGAAGTAGGGCTGTAGCTGGGGGAGGGGGGGCTGTAACTCGGAGACGTGGGGCTGTAGTTGGGCGAGGTGGGGCTGTAACTGGGAGACGTCGGGCTGTAGCTGGGCGAAGTAGGGCTGTAGCTGGGGGAGGTGGGGCTGTAACTCGGAGACGTGGGGCTGTAGTTGGGCGAGGTGGGGCTGTAACTGGGAGACGTCGGGCTGTAGCTGGGCGAAGTAGGGCTGTAGCTCGGAGATGTTGGGCTGTAGCTGGGCGAAGTAGGGCTGTAGCTCGGAGATGTTGGGCTGTAGCTGGGCGAAGTAGGGCTGTAGCTCGGAGATGTGGGCGCCAGCTGCCCCAGCATGATGTTCTCCGACACCCCCTTCATGGGGTCGCTCTCGCCGTGCGCCGCCGCCTCCATCAGCACGTCCACCTGCGGGGCGGGGGACACTCTAAATGGGACCCCAGGGCACCCCACAACCCAGCCGGGCACCCCTCCCCTCCACCACAGCCAACTGAGGTGGCCGCGGCCAGCTTGGGACACCCTGAACCCGGCTGTCGCAGCCTAAATCGGCATTTTATCCAGCCAAGACGCACCAAAAGCGGTCCCGATATCCTCAAATCCAGCCAGGGCACCCCAAATCTGACCCCCAGGGCACCCCAAAACCCAGCTGGGGCACCCATGGCCACTGGGATACGCCTTAACTGGGTCACAGCCTGTTTGAGAACACCTCAAATCTGGCTACTGCACCCAAATAATCTTTCTCCAGGTAAGACACCTGGCACCCCCAAATCTGACCCTAGGTCACCCCAAAGCTGGTCACCAGCTCACCGTCTCCTCAAAGGAGCACTTCATGAGGGGCCCGGTGTCCTGGCGGTTGACGCCGTGGCGGGTGATGGCCATGAGGTGGCCACGGGATGTCATGGTGTCACAGAGCAGCGCCAGGTGCCGGTAGTTGACGTAGGAGCCATCGAAGGAGATGACGTGGTAGAGCTCCCGCCCGAGGGCCGCACCGCCTCGATGCCCAGCACCTGCCCCCGCCGCAGGTGACAGTGAGCCCAGGTGTCCGGGCACCCGCCGGTGATCCCCCACACGCTCCCGGGGACCCAGGCGTCCGGGCACCCATGGGATTCCTCAAGTTCCTGGGCACCTACCAGGTCCTCACAGGCAACCCAATACACTCCTGGGGACCCAGGTGTCCTGCACCCAATGGGCCCCTCTAAGCACCCTACCACAGTGGAGCCAGGCGTCCCGGCACCCCAGGGGGGCTCCCCCATGCACCCCAGCTCACGGTAAAGATCTCCACGATGTCGTTGGAGGTGGTGCGCACGGGGTCCACGTCCTTCTCGCTCAGCACCCGCATGAGGCTGACGCCGTCCGTCTCCAGGATCCACTCCTGCAGCGCCTTGAACTCCCCGTCCTCCGTGATGATGATCTTCTTCTTGTTGTCCGTCTGCGGCAGGTGCATGTACACCTGCAAGGGGAGGGGGCCGACCGGCTCAGCAGCACCCACGGGTGCTCCCCAGGGGCACCTTGAGCACCCAAGGATGCCCACAGGCACCCACACTTGCCTATGGGCACCATCAGCACCCTGGACCTCCAAGAGACCTCCACACGCCCCTCAGGCATGTATCAAGAGCCAGGGTACCCTCAAGAGCACCCATGGGCGATCCCTGGACACCCACATGTGTCTATGGGCACTTTATCAGCACCGTGGACCTCCGAAACACCCCCATGGGAGACCTCCACGTGTCCCCCAGGCACATATCAAGAACCCAGGCACCCACTGAGCACCCGTGGGCTCTCCCCCAGGCACCACCATGGGTGTCCTGGACCTTCTCCTGCCCCCCAGCACCCAGGGGTGCCCCCCCGCACCTTGCTGATCTGCTCGATGCCCTGCAGCGTCATGTCTGTCAGCATGTTGGACTCGATGCACCGCAGGAAGACGTCATCATCCATCTTGTCCACCACTTCCTCCTCCTGAGGACACCGAGGGTGAAACCCTGCCCCTGTCCCCACTGTCCCCCCTGGGGACCCCAAGGGGGGCACCAGCCCTGTCCCCCACCCATCCCCACCAACCTCCTGGGGACACAGAGTGACCCCAGCCTCGTCCCCTCCCTGACCCCACCATCCTTCCAGGGTCCCTCCCTCAAGGGTGACACCTGGATCCTGAGGGTGACACTGGCCCTGTCCCCTCTTTGTCAACCCTTGCCCCGTTCCCCACTGTTTTCTCGGGGACACCAGCCCTCTTCCCCCCTCTGCCACCTCGTGTCACATCCCCACTGTCCCCTTAAGGACACTGAAGGTGACACCAACCATGTCACCTGCCCATCCTCACAGACACCCTGAGGGTAACACCAGCCCTGTCCTGGGGACCCCAGCAGGTGACAGGGACCCAGTGGTGACAAGGACCCGTCCCACCTCCTGCATCTTGTTCTCATCGCTGTTCATGATGCGGATCCGCAGCACCAGCTTCTCGGCATTGTCGTCGTTGAAGATGCAGTTCAGGTCGTCCCCAAAGCCTGGGGGGGTGGGCGGACATGGGGGTCAGCCTGGAGTCCCCTTGGTGTCCCCCAGGGCTCCCAAAGTCCCCCAGAACCCCCCCAATTCCCTCCTGGACCCAAAGTACTCTCCACATCCCTTCCAGAACCCCTTCAGTGCTCCCTGCTGCTCCCAGGACCTCCAAATACCCTTCTGGACCTCCTCGTGCTCAGCACAAGTCCCCAAATGTTCTCCATGTCCCTCTTTACACCCCCAGCTTCCCCTCTCCCCAAGACCCCCATGTGGCCCCTGCTCCTCCCCAGGACCCTCTATGAGCCCAATTTCCCCCAGGACCCCAAATGTCCTCCCAGCCACCCTCCAGACCCTCTACATGTTCTCTGCTCCCCACAGGACCCCATATGTGCCCCCCTAATTCCTCCCAGACCCTCCCAGTTCTCCTCCAGGTACTCCTTAGGACCCCCTACGTGTCCCCTGCTCCCCCAATGCCCCCACAGCACCCACCAGCATTGATCTTCTCAGCGATCTGCTCCATGGTGAGCTTGCGGTCCGTCATGTGCTTGCGGTCGAGCTCAACACGGAGCAGCCAGGGCGAGATGCGGCTCACGTCAAAGTCGGGCATCTCGTAGTAGACGTTGACCCACTCCTGGTCCTCGGCCACCACCGTGCTCTGCGGGTTGGGGTCGTAGTAGATGGCCGTGTTGGCTGTCACCTTCCGCAACGTCGTGTGCTCCAGGCGGCACAGGATGTCCTGGGGGAGACGCGAGGTCAGTGCGGGGATGGTATGGGGGCACACATGGCTGTGGGGGACACGTGGCCATGGGGACATCACATGGTTGGGAAGATACCACATGGTCTTGGGGATGCAGAGGGGACACCATGTGGCCGTGAAGATGCAGAAGGGCCACCCCAAACCCACAGGGACAACACGTAGTCACAAGGACACCGGTGCAACACAGCACAGTCCAGGGACAACCTGGGCTTGTGGTGGGGCCTCTCGCCAGGCGTCCCCCACCCGCGGGTGCCCCCACCTTGGCGCGCTCAGCGTCACGGGCGCTCTGGCCCAGGAGGAAGACAGTGAGCGAAGGTGTCTTGGGCTTCTTGGAGATGTTGATGAGCTCCTTGAGGCGGGGGACACCCAGGGTGACGTTCTTGGCCGAGACACCGGCGTAGTGGAAGGTGTTGAGGGTCATCTGGGTGGCTGGCTCACCCAGGGACTGGGCTGCCAGGGCACCCACCATCTCCCCGGAGTGGGCCTGGGCAGGAGGGGGGGAAAAAAAGGGTGTTGGGGTGGGGGGCACCCACCCAAGGGCAGCTGGGCAGCAGCCCTGATGCCCAGGGGTGTCCCCCAACCCCAGCGCTATGGCTGGCTAAGCCCCCCAAATCCCCAATCTTGCCCAGAAGCCAGGGAAAAGCCCACCCTAGACACCCCAAATCTGCCCCTCACATGATGACCTGGTGGAACTTGGACTCAAGCTTGCCCAGGAGCCAGCTGAAGCCACCCTTGGGACCCCAGATCTGCCCCTCTAGCCCCCCTCAACCTGCCCCACACACGACAGCCTGGCTGGACTCGATCGCACCCAGGAACCAGTTGAAGGCACCTCTGGAGCCCCCTGGATCTGCCCTCGCCCCCCAGATCTGTCCCCTTGGAAGCTCCCAATTGCCCCCCCAGCCCCTCCTGCCCCACGCACGATGGCCTGGTTGAACTTGGACTCGATCTCGCCCAGGAGCCAGTCGAAGGCCTCGCCGCTGAGGCGGAACTCCTCCACCATGCGGCGGCTGCAGAGCGTGGAGCGCAGGTGGATGTTGAAGAGCAGCGTGGCGTTCTCCTGCGCCTGCCGGCTCAGCGGGTCGTCCCCGTTGACGATCACCAGCTTCCGGCTCAGCTCCTTCACCCCTGGCGGGGGAAAACAAGGGGGGGGGGGAAAATGGGGGTCGGGAGAGAGCCACAAGGACCTCAGCACCTTCCTGGGGATCGTGAAGGTCTCAAAAGCCCCCTCGGCATCTCCTAGGTCACGGGAGGCCTAAAAGCTCTGCCAACACCTTTCTGGGGATGGCAGGGGGCCACCAAGACCCCTCTAGCACCTTCCTAGGGATGATGGGGGGCCAGGACCCCCCCCAGCACCTTCCTAGGAGATCCCAGGGATCTGGTAAGACCCACCAGCATCACCTAGAGGATCAGGAGGGGCCCCAAAGCCCCCCCCCTTCCCAGCACCTTCCTAGGGTCTTGCACCCCTCCCAGCAGTTCAGAGGGTCACGGGGGTCCCCCTAGTGTGTCCCAGTGCCATGGAGGCCCCCCCGCTCACCTTCCACCACCTTGACAGGGTGCAGGTCCGAGGGGAGGCGCGAGTTGATGTGAAAGATCTTCTGGGCGTTCCAGATCATGCGCAGCAGGTTACAGGGCAGCACCACCTGGGGGGGAGGCAGAAATGGGGGTCAGCACCCCAAAACAGGGGGGGTCTGCACCCCAAAACAGGGCAGTCAGGCAACACCATCCAGGGTGAGCAGAAATGGAGGTCAGTCCCCTGAAATAGGGGGCTCAGCACCCCAAAACAGGGGGCAGTCACAGAGCAGGACCTGGGGGTGCAGAAAAGGGGGCCTGCACCCCAAAAGGGGGGGGGTTAGGGAGCGCATCTTGGGTGGGCAGAAACAAGGGTCAGCACCCAAAAATGGGGAGTCTGCATCCCAAAATGGCAGCGTTAGAGCCCAAAACCAAGGTGGGTCAGGGAGCAGCACCTGGGGGTGTCAGAAACAGGGGTCAGCCCTGGACGCCTGGGTTCACCTTGCTGTCGCCGGTGGGGAAGATGACGCGCAGCACCTCGCGGTCCTCCCGCATCTTCTCGAACTCGCGCTCCAGCTCGTTCTGGATGTGGGCGTTGCTCAGGATGTCCTTGACCATCTCCTCCTGCAGCGTCCGCCGTAGCGCCCGCTCGTTGGTGTAGTCGAACTTGAACCTGGGGCGCGGGGACCGCCAGCCGTCACCCGGGGATCAACGTCCCACCAGGACCCCCATAAAAGCACCCGGCTCTGAGGCAGGAGCAAAGGGAGCCCCCCTAAAAGCACCCAGCTCTAGGGCAGGGTGAGTTTTCCCCAAGGTTATGCCTGCTGTAGGGCAACACCATGCCAATACCCCCCAGACTACACCCCACTCCAGACCAACACCACGCTAATACCCCCTAGACCGCATTCCACTCCAGACCAACACCATGCCAATTCTTCCTTGTGGTCACACTGTATTCTGGGGCAACACCATGCCAATTCCATCCCCCCAGATTACAACCCTCCGGAGTACCACCGCGTCGATTACACCCCGCTTCAAGGCACCACAACGCCAATCCCGCTCCAAGATTGCGCCCCGCTGTGGGGTGTTGCCATGACAATGCCTCCCCAAGATTACACCCCGCTCTAGGGCAACACTGTGCTGATCCTCTCCCCCGCCGACCCCGACAACACCCCGCTCACTTCTTCTCGAAGGCCTTGTTGGAGGGCTTGAGGGTGGCGAGGTTTTGGAACTCGACGCTCTCGCCCGCCAGCCCGTCCTCGCCGTAGCGCAGCTGCACCACCTGGTTGATGGAGTTGCGCACGGTGGCGTCGTACTTCACCATCACCGACTCCATCGACTTGATCAGGCGCCGCTGGATGTACCCTGCGAGGGCGGTACGCGGTCACCCAGAGGGTCTGGGGGACCCGGGGAACCTCTGGGGGTCCCAAAGGAGCTCTAGGGAGGGTAGAAAAGGGGCACAGGGGGCTCTGGGGAGGGTCCGGGGGTCTCAGAGATCCAGAAAAGGTATGGGGAAGGTCTGGGAGTCCCACAGGGGCTCTCAGGAGGGTCTGGGAGTCCCAGAAGGTCTCTGGGAAGGGTCCGGGCAGGCCCCAGGGAACCTTCAGGGAAGGTTTGCGGCTCCCAGAGGGGCTCTCAGGAGGGGTGAGGCAGGTTCGGGGGGGTCCCTAGAAGATCCAGGGAGGGTTTGGACAGTCCCTGAGGAATCCAGGCAGGATGTGATAAAGGTTTGGGGGTCCCCAGGAGCTCAAAGAAGGGTTGGGGGGGGTTCCCTGAGGGAGCCAGGTAGGCTGTGGGGAAGGTTGGAGGGGTCTTCAGGAGCTCCAGGGAGAGTTTGGGGGATCCCCAGGAGCGCCAGGGAGAGTTTGGGGGATCCCTCAAGGTCTCCAGGGAGGATCTGGAGGACCTCTTCAGGGACACAGAAGCCCCCCGGGATGCGGCAGGAGGTGCAGGACAACCCCAGGGGCTCACCCGTCTCAGCTGTCTTGACGGCGGTGTCGATGAGGCCCTCGCGGCCACCCATGGCGTGGAAGAAGAACTCGGTGGGGGTGAGCCCGGCCAGGTAGGAGTTCTCCACGAAGCCGCGGCTCTCGGGGCCGTAGTCGTCCTTGATGAAGTGGGGCAGCGTGCGGTGCTTGAAGCCGAAGGGGATGCGCTTGCCCTCCACGTTCTGCTGCCCCACCACCGCGATGACCTGGGGGTGGGGATGCGGGGATGAGACGCCACGCGGTGCTGCTCTCCCCATAAGCCTCCTTGCACCCTCCAACCCCTTAGGGAGCCCCCAGACCCTCTCCATGTCTCTCCAGATCCTTGGGAGGACCTCACAGGGTCCTCCAGACCCCATAGGGACCTTCTAGACAACTCTGGCACCCATGGGGCCCACCTAGAGCCCCTCCATCTCTCTCCAGACCTTGGGAGGGCCCCACTGGATCCTCCAGACCCCACAGAGACTCCCTCAGACCCCTCTGGTGGCCAAGGGCACCTCCCAGACCCCATAGGGAACCCAAGACTCCTCTGGCCCCCACTGTCATTCTCCAGCTACCAGACCCCATAAGGATTCCTGTACCTGAGAGATGTTGTTTCTGGAGCCCAACACCACCATGGATCCCCAGACCCCCACGAGGACCCTGTAAGGGTTCTCCAGCTCCCATAGGGACCTGCCCCCAGGTCCCATCGACACCCCCCAGACCCCCGCACCTGGGAGATGTTGATCTTGGACCCTTTGGCACCCGACACCACCATGGACTTGAAGTTGTTGTACTCCGAGAGTGACTTCTGGGCAGAGGAGCCGGTCTTGTCACGGGCATCGTTGAGGATGCGGTTCACCTGGTTCTCGAAGGTCTGCCGCAGCGTGTTCCCTGGCGTCGGCTCCAGCTCGTTGTTGTGCGCCTTCTCAATGACCTGCCGGCACCCCACCCCCAAGCACCCCACGGTGTCATCGGGGCGTCCCGAGATCCCAGGGAACGCCCCAAAACCTCACGGGGACACTGAGACATCACGGAAGGAGCTCCACAACCCCAGAGAACGCCTCAAAACCTTGCAGGGACACCACAATGTCACTGAGAGTGCTCCAAAACCCCTTCTGAGACACTACAACATCACCAAGGGTGCTCCAAAACCTTGGAGAACACCCAAAAATTTCACTGGGACACTGCGATGTCACCGAGGGTGCTCCAAAACCCTGGCGAGTGCCCCAAAACCTTCCCAGGACTCTGTGAGGACCCCAAGGGTGCTCCAAAACACCCCAGGGAGCACCTCCCCTCCCCTGGACACCAACACGTCCCTGAGGGCACCCCAAATCTCTGCCGGGAAGCCCCCCAAAACCCACCACCCACCTCAATGACATCCTGCTTGGCCTTCTTGATGGTGTTCTGGATGTCCTGGTACGTCTTGGCGTCGGCAATGGAGTCCCCAATGCCGATTGTGTGGCCTGAAGAGGGGCAAGGAGGAGGATTAGGTGGGGGGTGCCCCACCCATAACTCTGCCCCCCAGGGTGCCCTCCACCCCAAAAACACTCTCCAGGGAGGAAAGGGCCTACGGTAGGCGCTGATCAACAAAGGAAAGGGGGGTCCCATTGGGGGTGGGGGTTGAAGGGATCCCCCGGATGCCTGGGCCCCCGCTCACCCTCAATGAGGAGCCAGTTGTTGATGACGGTCTGGATGTTGCTGTAGAAGAGGCGGGTGGTGTCGTGGCCCATCTCCAGGTAGGAGATGTGCACCAGGGAGCCCGCCGAGGTGCCCAGCGACTTCTTGCACAGGATGCCCATGATGAGCTCCCCGTTCTCCACGATCACCTGCGTTTGGGTGGGGGGGGTGGACGTGTCTCAGATCTGCCCCAACCCCCCCCAGAGCCCCCGCATAGTCCTTACAGGCACCGCAAGCTCCCCTCAACCACCCCAAAGATCCTCTGTACCCCTTTTACCCACCCCAAAACCACCCTGGGACATCCCACGGTCACCCCCAACCACCCTGGAGGACCTCCGAGTCCCACTCTGCCATCCCACAGATCCTCCCCGCCCCCTTCACCCACCCCAAGGCCACCTTGGGATGTCCCCCAGTCACTCCCAGGGTCTCCCCTAACCACCCTGGAAGACACTTGTGTCCCACACCCAACTACCCCAGACCCCCGCTGCAGCCACACCAGGGACGCTCTAGATCCCCTTTGCTCACCCACTGCCCACCTCCCATCACCTCAAGGATCCTCCGTACCCCTTTACACCCATCCTGGGACGTCCCCAAACGCCCCCCCCCCACCTTGGTGTCGCC